ATCACACTTTGACCCCAGGCCCATTCCCACATTCTAAGAAGACATAATGAATGCAACTAGATTTTGTACTTCAAAGGAAATATTTCAAAGAGTAAATAAAGTAGGACATTTACAAAATTATCATCATGTGATTGAAAATGTGACTCTCAACATGACTAACAATCAACTAAAAGCAAATTTCCAATATATCACATTATAAAGAATTTTCTCTGGTTGATTAAAATCTAATTCAAATTAAGTTATAGTTTATCATAGCTTTTAAAAGCTAATGTTTAAAAGTTATGGATTCAAGCATGCTGTTTCATTTCTAAAGTAATTTCTGTGCTTTTTTTTTTTTTTTTTTGCTAACCCTTTGTAAACAATTTCAAGTTTCAGTGCTGCGTGTTATGGTTTAGCTGTAGTCTGATAACTTACTAATATATAGCACAAGAAAAACAAACTTAGAATAAATATGACATTCTTGAAAAGCCCCAGTAGTATTCTAATTTGGTTTCTTTTCTCTGGACTCATTTTTATACAGATTAGACACATAAAAGAACCTGTGGCTTTGCTACAAGAAGTCTATAGAAATTCTGTGAAAGATCTTTCTCCAATGGATATAATTACATACATAGAAATATTAGCTGAATCACCCCCATTACTAGGTGACACGAATAGCACTAATTTAACCAAGGACAGTCTTGCTAATTCAACTCTTACTGTAAGTATTTAGAACTTTAACTCCATATAACTGAGCTTTAAACTTTTTTTACATCTGTGATTCATGTAAGATTCCAACATTTTAAAAGCACACTATTTTTTTTTTCAACAGGAATTTGTAAAAACTGTGAATAATTTTGTTCAAAAGGACACATTTATAGTTTGGGACAAGTTACCTACGAATCGTCGAAGAACTCATCTTACAAAACTGATGCATGCTACTGAACGGGCTACCTTAAGGATAGCTCAGAACTTCCAAAAGACCACTCAGTTCGATACTAATTCGAGTGATATAGGTAAGAACCTAAGGTCAATTTCAAAACAATAGTGTTTGCCAAACAAGCCATTCTAAAAAGGGAAAGAAAATATTTAAAATACTGCTAATTAAATTGCAGCCATTTAATCAATGCAAGAATGGATGACAATGCACATTATAAGAGCGATATGAATGAAGTATGAATTAAAAGGATGAATACCTAAACATTGCCTCCTTCCTGCCTTCTGCACCTCATCCTATTCCTGAACTATTTGGCATTTAAATGCTTAGAGTACAGTACTCCCTTGTCATTTTGAGTTAGTCATCCCAGGACTTCTTAGGATCTACCTTGGCCAAAGATAGTTCTAGACAGATTTTTTGATATGAAGCAATCAACCTAGCAAATTAGAATGTTTCCTGCTTCAGGCAATCTCATACTTAGAACATTCAGAATCTTGAATCAATTTGAAGATGCCTATAAAGTTGTTCTGAGGAAATGAAGTATATTTTCTGATAACCATTGCATTCATCTATATTACATTGTCTGGGTGACATCTTGCTGTATAGTAGTAGGTAAGCAAAAATGACTATCTCATATCACAACTTATCACTTGCTCAAAATTAAAGTAGCAAGTTTTATGACTGTACATAAGATCCTTGCATTTGTGTGATTTCTTGCATAAAAAAGGTGAACTACCCCAGGTAAGGAAATTATCACTCAAGAATTTAATTCAATCACTCCCCATATAGTAAATTATATTATAGATACCATCCTCTGAAACATTGTGGTAGCTTGTCTTTGATTTAGTAATAGCTCCCTTGTGTATATATTTTGTCTTTTATTTAATTCAATAAAGATTCAGTTTAACTATGAGTGCTATGGTGGAATCAAAAAGTTAAAACTTGAGTTAGATTTTTAAAATGTAAATTATAAGGTCCAAGCATGTTTAGAATCTGTTTGTTCTACCTGCCATAAAAAAGTTGAAATACAATAATGATGGATAACATTGTCCCTAACTAAACAAATAACATTGATTAAACTAATTTCAGAGAATTTATGATTTTCATGGTTTTTGTTTCAGCTCTCAAAGCTTTCTGTTTTGATTCAAATCATATGAAACATATTCATCCCCATATGAATGTAGATGGAGATTATATAAAGATATTTCCAAAGAGAAAAGCTGCCTATGATTCATATGGTAAGACTTTGATAGTCTTATATTCAATATGTCAGTGATTTGCAATAAATACTTATCATGCCTTTGATTGTATCATATGTACCCATGTGGTTTCTTATAGGAAATATTCGATGTTTCCATACAGAATATCTGTATTTGTACTTGAGATTTTCATTCCGATATAAATAATGGTGAGAATTTTAGCTGACAATATCTATACCTTCTTGTCTTATGCCCAGTCTCTAAAACTGTCTGATATTGTTGAAATTCTAATGAAATACATAAAGGAGCTGTCACTGTAATCCTTGTTTTGCAGCAGTCATAGGTGCTATAATTTGCATAGAATCTTTTTAACATTTCTTCTTCAGCAATCCTTCATATTCCTCACTGGGAGAGACTGAATTTGTGATTGTGTGAGGAAGACAAATAATGTTCAGAAAGACAGAAAGTTATTGTTTAGGCTTGGATTTCTTTCCCGCTTGTCATTTCTTGGTCTTTGTACAGTAAACTTCTCAACTGGCAGGATTTCTTAGGAGGGAATCAGAAAATGCCATTACTAGCGGGCAACTTGATAATTATCTAACTTAATTTTCTCATTTTATGGTCAATGGAACTAAGGCACAATGAAGTTAATGGATCTGTCTCCATGCACAACAAATAATACAGAACCAGTACTAGTAGGGAGAAAGTTAACAAAGAAATCACCCCTGACCAGCTCTTCCTTGTCATCGAACCAAAGGCAAGCAAGCAGCATCTGCTCCCTTAACGCAATGCACTTAGGAAAAAAGTCTCTGCAATAGAAGAATGGTCTTCATTTTCATACAGGTCACAGTACAGTACCTAGAGAAAGCATGAATTACAATAGATTCTCAAAGAATATGTGGGTGGTCCTAAATATAAATGAAAAGCATTTATAATAACACACATAGGGTTTCTTTTATAGACACCATTTCATAAATGGATGTGTCTTTATTTTTTTAACATTCTGCACATTCATTCTCAGAAGAATATCTTTTAAAAAATTTGTATAACACTAATATGGGATTTTTCCCTAATCTGGATATTGTCTTCTTCTTTTTTTCTTGTCATTTTTATATAATAGTAAGAAACAGAAGGCCACAAAACAAAACAAAAAAATAAGTAGGCCATACCTTGAACTCAAGGCTCTTACCCTATTTATTATATCATAGTCTAATTCACGAAGCACACCTATAATCTTTAGGAGCAAATCCAAAGACTGTGTTAAACTGTTGAAATTTCGAAAACAATTAAAAGGTGAGAATAAAGCCATCGACAATACTTATTATAGTGATAGATGATGAAATTGTCACGGAATGAATATCTCGAAGAGATCCTGTCTGAATGTATGATAGCTTTGTTATATTTGAAGATCATGCATGCTAACTCTGACACTTGAAAGAGACCATAATGTCAACTCTCAACAAAGCACAGGGAGAAAATTTTATTTCCTTAAGGGCTGTATCTTAAAAATAAGGGCAAGTCTAAGAAACTGATAAAACCTGCTTTGTGTTGTCTACGTGTGATGATTCATTACCGATAAAAATCCATTAGTAAAACACAAGCTTCTAGTTAAAATCTGCATACTGTCATTTATAGAAAAATAAGGGAGGTTTATGGAGAAACAGGGTAGATATTTAGTCTTTTTTATAGGCTGAATTTTAGTTCCTGTCGTTAGCAAATAAACCCTTCACGTACTGAATGAAGGTACATATCTGATAAAAGACTTAAAAGTTAGATCAGGCTGAGATTCAGTGAGAAATCATAAGAATTAGAAGAGGTTCAGATAAGGAGAATGGACAAATACTGAAATAATCCTCAGAACGGAGGTAACAAGGGATTTGGGAGCATTCTATGCAGCAAGAATCACATTTTACTCAAAGTCAAAAATTGATGTTAAATATTTTCCTAGAGAAAGGAAATGAATGATTAATAGATTTTAAAAATCCATCTTATCTTTTTGGGGCTTCATTTGGTTTTGGACCAACTCGTACTGCAACTTTTGAGAAGTCACTGTGACATGAACTGGTTCATCCACCAGACAGGGTCAAGTTGACCTAAAGGGTTTTCAGATCCTGCCTAGGCCCTGGTTCATCCACAACAAAGGCTGGAGTAGTTGCCATCACTCAGAGTCCTCATAATGTCATTAGCCAACCATGTGAGACTAACTTCATTTCTTTCTTTGATAGAAGTTTTCTTAAGCTGATAGTTCAGGAAAATACTCTTAGCTAATACACATAGATTTCAGCACCTCTTAGCGATGTTTCTTCTCTTGTGATACCTTTTTAGATATGACAGAAAACATGAATCATGATATACTTTGGCAATGTCTAGCTCACATAACCATAACAATATCCAAAAACATTATTCATTAGAGTGATATTATGATGTGGAACGACTTAGGTTTGTATCACAGTTCTTTGTTTTTTGGGTTTTTTAATTAACCTTGTTTCAAACTCTATTCCCAAGCTTCTTCAGTTTCATTAGCTCCAAAGAATGAATTGTGTATAAGCAAACAGTGAAAATAGCTGCAGCATCCAAGGGGCTCAGGCTTAAATACATTAGAGGTCTAGATTTTATCAGATCCATGAACAAAATTTTAAAAAACAGTCAATATAAAATACCGGCTCCCGGGGCACCTGGGTGGCTCAGTCTGCCTCTTGATTTTTGACTCAGGTCATGATCTCAAGGTTTGTGAGTCCGAGCCCCACATCAGGCTCTGGCAGTGCAGAGCCAGCTTGGAACTCTGTCTCCCTCTCTCTCTGCCCCTCCCCAACTTGCTCTCTCTCAAAATAAATAAAAATAAGCTTTAAAAAAAAAGATCAAAGCAGCAGCTCCCAGTAACTTCTTCAAGTTTTATCTTCTTCAGAAGTTGAATCAGTTTGGTTTGCTTCATTCTTGGTGGCCTCACCAAAGTTCTCCAGGAGATCTGGAACTTCATTCTCCTCCTCATCCTCTCCGGTAGAAAGTGGCGCTTCTCCAGCCACAGACTGTGTGTCCAGAGCTTCAGCCACTCTTCTTAAACTAGTCAGACTGTCTGCACTGAGTTGGTTTAACACACCGGGTAGGATTTCTGTCCGCTGCTTCGTCTCCGCATGGCCTGTGATGGTGAAAGGGTCTGCTGCCAGGGATGCCCGGACTTTAGGCATATTGAAGTGGACCACTGTTCCTTGATTTGTGAACATATTCACTTCTTCAGCACCAGAGGTATTGTTTTCCCTGAATTTCTTTAAGGAGAACTGAAGTTGTTTTTTTTTTTTTATCACCTGCTGTTGCCCTTTAAGCAAGCGGTTCTTTCAGCAAGCAGCAACCTCTTGCTTGTGAACCACCTTCTTTAAGCAAGCAGTTCTCCTAGTGCACAGTTGGGCAGTTTGGCAAGTTTTTCCTGGTTCATGATAGTTTCTTTCATCTTGTTGGGGTGGAAACGGGACAGCGTTGAGGGTCTAGCCTTGGCAGTGTGGGGTCTTGGGAAGACAAACTGAGATTAGGTGCACACACGCGGTGATGCAAGATGGTAGCTGGAGGGCACAGTTCTTAGGGATTTTAATGATGTAATCAACATTCATATTTATGGTTTTGATTGACTGATGCCTGTCACATTATTTGCTGGTGTCACAAATTTGAGGGAACCAATATAGAGTTCATTGTAAGTTGTCCCAGTAACCTAAAGCAAATATGTAATGTTCCTAGTTAATAAATGTAACAATAGTCATATTACCCTAGTACGTTAAATTTTACAGAAGACTCATGTGGTATTTAATTATTCTGCATGTTAGCTTTGTAAGTAGCTAGGGTGAGTATTACTATTATCATTTTATAAGTGAGGAAGCTGAAGTTCAGAGCAGTTTATCCATAGCCACACAAGTTGGAGCAATGACTGAAACCAGAACTTTTAATTCTGAGAGTAAATTCAGAATGCAAAGTTCTGAACTTAGTGTCCATTATTCTGTGCAACAAATAGCAGAAGTGTATCATCTAAGTGGCAAGAGAAATTTTTAAAAGATAATAGATCTAGATTTTGAGTTGTTCACACACTTATTATCAGTAGTAATGAACTGCTTCAAAACCCAAGACAATTTGAGATCCATTAATATAGGTGTAGTGTTGGGGCGCCTGGGTGGCTCAGTCGGTTAAGTGCCAGACTTTGGCTCAGGTCATGATCTCACGGTTTGTGGGTTTGAGCCCCACATCAGGCTCTGTGCTGACAGCTAGCTCAGAGCCTGGAGCCTGCTTCAGATTCTGTGTCTCCCTCTCTCTCTCTGACCCTCCTCTGCTCACGGTGTCTCTCTCTCTCCCTTTCTCTCTCTCTCTGAAATAAATAAAAACATTAATTTTTTTAAAAATATAAGTGTAATGTCTAGGCTAAGGGGAAAATAGTCACATGATATTCTGTACTAATAAGGTTGCATTTCTAGTACTGGGTTTTACGTGGATCTACTGCATTTGGAGAATGTCAAGGGGCACAGATAAATGGCTGCCTGGCAAGGCAATAAGTTTCCTGTCTTGAGACTGCATAACTATATGTCATCAATATTAAGTAGGAAACATCTCAGTGGGCATGAGCTGGAACTCAGTGGCATCTGACAGCTTGTTTAATTCTAAACTTCCTGAATACTCTAAGTCAGTGATAATTTTCTTCCACTGTCTTTCTAATTCCTATATTTGCATAGCAAAGATAAAAAATTTTATTTTTTAAGCGAATACATTTCACACCTGTATTCTTAGGAGTTGGATATGCATTTATCTAGGACTGTTTTTCTTCTAAATATAGCTTGTGCAATGGGGTGCTATAGTCCCGTGATAATTTCAGAGTCGTAGAGGTCAGAGACTATGTCTTAATATGATTTGATTATATAGACATGACCTTATTATGACCCACATATTAGTGTCTAGGTATTTATATGACTGCCTTTGAATAAAAATTTTGATGGTTAAGTTCTTATGTTTAAGAGCTTAAATATATATATTTTTATAAGAATTTCACTAAATGCACTTATCTGATTGATAGGCAATGTTGCAGTTGCATTTTTATATTATAAGAGTATTGGTCCCTTGTTTTCATCATCTGACAACTTCTTATTGGAACCTCAAAGTTATGATAATTCTGAAGAGGAAGAAAGAGTCATTTCTTCAGTGATTTCCGTCTCTATTAGCTCGAACCCACCCACACTGTATGAACTTGAAAAAATCACATTTACATTAAGTCACGTAAAGGTAAGCTTGTTTTACTGGTGACTTTTGGTGATGATTGTGAAACATTGGGAGAAGTGAACATTTTTATTGTGTCACCTTAATTATATGTGAATTCTTAAGTTTAAAAGTTGAAATAAAAGAGTAAAGTAGTTTCAACTCAATTTTCTGTAAAATAAGTTTTTACTTTCAGTGCTCTGTAAACTTTCTAAGAAATATCAAGGAATTTTACACATTTGATTCTCTGAAATTAAGCTCTATTTTAGTTTTATTTTTAGTTACATCATTCATTTTGGAAGTCTCTGTACCTTTTATGCATGGGTTACAAAAATGTATCAGAGTCAGAGAGATAAATGTCTTTTGGGTAATGACAGAGGTGTTTGATTAATAATTGCCATTTGAGATAATATTTGCTGCAGGGATTTAGATGCTGATTAAAATAAAATCACAGAGAAGTTTACAATATTTCATAAAGAAATTAGCTGAGACCATTTTACCCTTTTATTGTTATTCTAAATCGTTTTCAAGCTCCTATGTAATTAAAACTCTAATATAATAAACATTAGAAAAACTATTTAGTTTTTTCATATATCTAAAAATGAATGAGTTGATGGTTTTTTTAAAGTTGATGGTTTCCTGGACTTCCAATAGAACTTCAGTCCTAGTACCTGAATAAAGTACCTTTAATGATCCATTTGGAGAGCCTTGTAACTGGACAGTTGTATTTGCATGTTTATGGGATTAAAAGAACATATATGCTTACACACCATATAAATGTGTCACTTTAACTAAAGACATCTAACATAGAAAGAAACTAAAAGTATAGAAAATACAAGAGAATAGTAGCTCAAACCTAAACATGTGTAGACATTATGTTCAGTGTAAAAGAAGGTGTGAAATGTTCTAAGAATGGAAATGAAACTTAAATATTTTCAGATGCTGAATGACCTTTTGCCACTAGAAAAAAACATTGTTCTTTCACTTAGTCTGATAGTTTTTCTGCAGTTTCTACTAGTAGAATATTTTGGCAGCTGAAGAGATGCCGAGGACAGCCCAGTTCACCAATCTCTGACACAATGACAAAACAAAACACAACACACATTTAAATAAAAATTCCTCACCAAAATTAATGGGAAAATTGATTGTCCTTAATCTTCCTCTGTGTTCAAATCTTCTATCCATTCAACCTAATGATCACTATGAAATTTTATCACTTTCTTTAGACAACACACATAGTAATTCATGGTTTCCCTCTTTCTAAGAATAAAATTTGGATCCTATCTTTTTCCTAAAATAATAGAAGCTATCTCCTAGATAACCCCTTCAGTTTCTGATTCCCTGATAATTTATTTGCAATTTTATCAATTAATATATACTTCTCCATTACCTCAAAGAAATATTAAAAGTAGTTGTCATAATAATATTATGCTGTGCTTACTTAATATAAATATATGGTTAAGAGAATCTATTTATTAAACAGCCATCCTGTAGTCTATGAGATCAGACCCTATCTATGATCTTGTCTTCAACTGCTCTTTATCTCGTTCACTCTACCCTAACTACCCTGTCTTCTGGATGCTTCTGGAAGATTCCTATTCAGTCTCAACTCAGAACTTTTTCATTTTCCATTCCAACTGGAACTTCTGTTCCCAGGTCTTTGGGGTTTACTCTCTCTAACTTCATTGAGGTATTTACTTTAACATCATCTCCTAAGAAGTCCTCAGACCCACATCAACCCAACCTCTTTTCCCTTTCTTTGGTTTATTTTTCTTGTTTAATCATTTCTCATCTCATGAGAATATAAAATCAACAATGCAAATACTTTTCCTGTTTTGTTCAGTATTATATTTTTAGTACTTGGGTCAATGACTAAGATCTAGTATATACCCAATAAACTTTTATTAATTAAAGATTGCATGATAATTATGTAACATGAACTATTCTAAATGATCTCTTTTGATAATTAGTAATTCTCACAACAACTTCTGTGACATGGAAATTGATAAAATATAGCATTGTTGCAGTAACTTCAATCATCCACAAAACAGTGGCATTCATTTATTAGCATTGATTTTATACTTGGCGTTTTAGGCATGGTGTTAACTATATTGACATACAAAATAGTATATTAAATATGGCAAATGTGATACTAGATGTATATTTTTTCTCTTTTTTCCATTAGTAAAATGTCTCTTTTTCAGACCACAGATAACTATAGGAGTCAGTGTGCATTTTGGAACTACTCTTCTGACACCATGAATGGTAGTTGGTCTTCAGAGGGCTGTGAGCTGACACACTCAAATGACACCCATACCTCATGCCACTGTAACCACCTGACACATTTTGCAATTTTGATGTCTTCTGGTCCTTCCATCGTAAGACAATTTTCCATTTCATATTTATAAACCTGCCAATTTTCTTCTTTTTTCTTGATTATGTCAGTAAAGAGAATAAATTATGTTTCTTTAGGTGTAAATATCATATTTAGTTAATTGATAAAGCCCCAGCATTATCCTTTTTAATCTTTGGGGTTTTTTTGTTTTTTTTTTTTAATTTTTTAATGTTTTATTTATTTCTGAGAGAGAGAGAGAGAGACTGTGAGCAGGGGAGGGTCAGAGAGAGAGGGAGACACAGAATCTGAAACAGGCTCCAGGCTCTGAGCTAGCTGTCAGCACAGAGCCCAACGCGGGGCTCAAACCCACTAACCGTAAGACCATGACCTGAGCCGAAGTTGAACGCTTAACCGACTGAGCCACCTAGGCGCCCCTAATCTTTGCTTTCTTACCTGTAATAACCTAAAAATGTCTAGCACTTTTCTAGTCTATAATAGCTAGAAGATTGTGTGTTAAATATATATCCATTGACTCTTCTGTTGCTTTAGATGGGGGGAAAGAGGTCAAAGGGTGATGGGCATTGAGGAGGGCACTTATTTGGATAAGCACTGGGTGTTGTATGTAAGCTATGAACCATGGGAATCTACCCCAAAAAGCAAGAGCACATATTACACACTATATGTTAGCCAATTTGACAATAAATTATATTATAAATAAATACG